CCATTAAAATCAGCATAAATAATAAATAAAATTAAACAATAACAATTAAAAAAAAATTATATTCAATTTACCATAAACATCATTTCGTAATTAATTATTTTTCATGCCTATTAAAACAATTTAAAAAAGAGAAAGAAAAACAAATAAAACCAAAAAACCATATAAATGTTATTTAAAAAACTTTATTTAGTTTATTATCCTTTTTTATTGATATAATAAATAATAAACAAATAAAATGAAAAGTAATAATAAAATTTCATAATTTTCTTAATGTAGAAAATACTTACATACGTATAAAAATAATATTAATTATTGTGTTTTATTTTGTACTGCAGTAAAAAATGGGGATTAATTTTGCAGCCTGGTTTTCAATAGTTTATTATTTATGGATTTTTTCAGATTTTTTTTTTATATTTCAACATGCATACATACATATATTATATTCTCGAAAGTATTTATAACTTTAGAGTATAACAAATTTGTACACTGGAAATTGGGTATCAAAACGAGTAGTATACACTTCTAATTTAACTTCTTATCAAAACAGGGGTTCCCACCCTTTTTATTAAAGTCGGTAAAAAGTCTTGCTGAAACCAGGGAAATGAGCAAACCATACAGACCAATTTCCTCAATCACTCGAGAAACTACTCCTCTGGGAATTACAACATCATCTACATCCAACAGATCCTCAGCATGGATTCCGTCTAAAATACAGCATTAGAACAGGTGGACTTCTTTCACCGATCCTGTTTAATTTATATAACATCACCACACACATAATCTCTTTTGCAAATAACTGTTCATTGTATTGATGACCTTTGCGATTTGAAAAACAGGTACCTATGTGATAATTCCAGCTATGACTCTAGCCGGCAGCAGGGAATGAATAAAGAAACGTTACCTATCTACCAAACGATTGACTGGTCAGTGGTAAACTAAGCAGCGCCTGTGTGAACTCAAATTGTGGCCCTTAGATCCATAAGGGGCTATATTCAAATGACGTCAGAAGAACATTTGTATGATGAGTCGAAGATGCGTTCGGTTAAGGAACATAACACCCGAACCACAATCGAAATTAACTGGAACCTGAATCCCTTTGGACCCAGCCGATAGATTAGGCTCGGCTACTGGGTTTAGATCTAGCTGATTTAAATCACCAGAGCAAGGAAGAAGAAAATAAGGAATAATCTACCGGTACCAATTTGATAGCGATTTTGATTTGATTTTGGATTTTTAAAATCTTCATTTCATGGGCCTTTGTAATCTCACTATTTTACCTTTAATTACTGGATTTCAAATCCTGTTGAACTGATAAAATTTAAATTTCTTCTGAATAATTAAATTTTTATTGAATTCAATCTATTACAAATTGAAATTCATCAATTCCAATTTGCGATATTTCCAACTTAAAATGATATAAAATGATATATGATCAGTGGATTTTTAAACTTTTCCATAGAATATTTACATATATGATATGTAAATATATATTTTAAATCAAAATAACTTATACATATTTCTAAAAATAAGTATAATTCAAAATAGAATTTAAATGAAACTACTTTTTTAATGCTTGTAAATTAATTAATTAAAATAAAATTTCAACTTTGATTTCAATATTTTTCAAATACGTTTCTTTATTGTTATTATTAATGAACTTGGTTAGACAATTTTAAAAATTCAATGTAATTTTTAAATTGAATTCCTTATAAAAAACAATAATTAAACACAATAAACAAATAAAATACAAACAATAACAAAAAAACACACATTAAAAAGTTCAAGAAGTTTATCATTCTACATGTAGTACAAGTACGACTACATATGGATTGGAATTTTAAAATTTCACCTCCAACAATTGAAATAATAATGAAAAGTATTATTTACTTATGTAAAAAGTACACGAAAGCCCAAACGCCAATCAGCACCGGAACCTTTAGCAGGATATTTTTTTATAGATAAATTTATAAAACAAAATATAATTATTTACGTTTCCTATAATCATGATGTAGATGAAAGCGTGCCGAATAGCGAGTATTACCGTTTTGTAAGGAATTTGAACGATGTAAAACTTTGGCCGAACCATCGATTTGTGTATTGCCATCTGTACTACGCCATAGATTTGCAATGGCCTCTAGTGCTATTTCAGTTTCATCTTCTTTGTCATCATGTTCGGCGGACAGGGTTAAATCAATTTGTCGCTTGAAGCGTGTTTTCAGCAATTGTTTTTGTATTCCAACATTATTTGTTAATGGTGCCGAGTGGATTAGAACTACCAAAAGCAAAAGTAATAATGTGATTATTCTGGTAGAGAATATCATTTTGATACTTTTGTAGAGATTTAATACGAGTAGTACAAGTTGATTGTTCGAATATTTTATTAAAACTGAATTGATAAGAGACTTAACTACAGCTTAAATGAGATGATTAGCGTGTACCCATATACAATGATGTATTTCAGTTGGAATTATCTAAAATATGTATTAAGTTTAATAATTAAGTTAAATTATTAAATATTATTATTAAACTTTTATTTGTAACTTGTTCTTATTGAAAAATTAAAAGGACTGAAATATTTGTAAAATAAAAAATTTAGACATTTATTCAAATTTGTATTTTTTGCAAGCTTTTATTTAACTTGCTCTGTTCGTTAATTAGTTAGTCTGGTGGAAATTGTCCCACTACCTCCCGTCTGATAGGCTAGAATACTAACAAGTTACTAATTCGAATTTATATTCGGAAATTTAAAGTAATAAAGAACGAATCTTACATCTACCCTTCAGACTCTTCTTAACAAAAAAATCTAAGTAAATATTTTCGGAATAATAACAATGTCTTTTCCTACTGTAATAATAGGGCAGTGGTTTAGAAAATCTTGATTCGTAATAATAACACAAGTGTCAAGTAAACAATTTTTTTTTGTTTTCCCTATACCGAATGCTATTAATATTATACTGTCAAGATAGATTATAGTCAAATTAAGTAAATAGTCAAAAAGTATTTTGAGAAATTCGAAAATCTTTATTAACAAAAAATTCAAATAAACGGTATAAACTCATTATGTTTTCAGTTATTCAGTGCAATAACAATTTCATCATTATGCTGTTAAGAAAAACTTTGCCCTTACAGAAATTACTTCTAATAACAAAATAATTTTGCATGCATCTTTACATTAAATCCATAGACACTTTGAAAATAAGTTCTTAACATGTTTTTGTTTTAATTTATTTAGTTTTTTATAATTTAAATTTTAGGTTCAGTAATTTTTGCTGGTGGCCAATCCCACTGTTTGTTGGGAATGGGTTGTGCCAATTTTTCCCAAGGTTTCCAGCCCAACATTTTACGTGCCAATACCAATTCATTTTCAGCTTGTACAATCAATTCTTCAACTTGGCCACAGCCAATGGCTTTCTCCAAAGCGTTGATGTCTTTGTTCTGTAAATATATCCTCAAATTAAACACAATATTTTAAATTAAATATTTTTTACTACTTACGCTTTCTACAGCTTTTGCTCTTTGTTGTACAATTTGTTCAGTGTATTTGCGGTAGGCAGCATCTTGAGGCATCTTGGCTACGGCTCTTAAGATTTTACCATACAAAGCACTCAAGGTATGGTGTGGATTAACTGCAACAGCCAAGCCTGTCAAGCCGGTAGACTGAAAATAGTGGGTTAAATATTACCATTATATTTTACCAAGGTTAGGTATTTTGGACAAAACATTTTCCGAAACACGTATGACATAACAAAAACAATTCACTATTTCCCATTTTGTAGACGTTAAATTATTGGGGAATATGTTGTTTTTTATTTACAGTATTTAATTAACAAGTTGCATACTTACTGCTTTCAATATTTTCGACATGTTCACAAGTTTTTGCAATAAAGGTTTTTTAACAAAAACAGTGGATAAAAAACCACAAATCTCAGAAAGAATTGAGCTGAAAATCGAAAAAAGTTAAACAGCTGGTCAAGTTGCTTGCCAGACTTCCATGTAGCGTTACCATATTTATGCGGTTTTATTATTGCGGTGGCGAAAAATTAAAATTATATACGGCAATATTTGGATGTACACTTAGAGATTGAAAGGTGAGTATTTTAATTAAACACATATGAGAATGTAAAAAGCTATAAAATTTTATTATTTTATTTTAATTGAAATAAAATTAGTGTGAAACCACATTTAACTATGCCATTGTTACCTTCAAAACAACTTTTCAGCTAGTTTGTGATGAGTGAAATAGAAGGAAGTAAGTCTGTAACTTCTAAATGTTTAATTAGTCCGATTTGAATGAAATTTCACTTGCGGTAAAAGAAAAATAATATTTCTTCCTCGATGAGCTCTATAAAAACTTAGTTATCAATTAACTATTATAGCTTAGAAAATATTCGAATTTGAAGATTACATTTTTTTCAGTTCTTTGATAACATACTTGTTTAAAAATTGCCTAACTGACAAACTTTACACAAAATATTTTATATGAACAAAAATTTAAAAAGATAAATATAAATAACTATAAATATATTTTTAAATTGAAACACAAACGAAGAAATAGAACCGTTTTAAAATTTAACATACCTGAGTAGTCCTACATTGCGGACTCCTGGCCGCATCTGCATCTTTTGTCTCTTCAATATATAATTCTAAAATACAAGTTATTTCAACCCAAAATAACGTTACCGTTAAGTTACCCAAATACGCCTAAATACCGTTACCGAAATAAACCTAAATACCGATACTTTTTTACAGTTTCCAAACGATTTCTAACTTTGAAAATATTTCTTCTTTTAAACCTAAATAACATGGTGCAACTAATAATAATCTATAGACCTTGCTAAATACCCTTTCCGAATATTAAAATAATATTTATGATATATTATAAACTTTTCATATTTAGCAACACAAAATTTGCCCTACTAATTTATTTGTAACGGCGAATTCAAAGATGTTGCCACTATTGATTTTTTTCAAATTAACAATACGGCAACTCTAACAATTGCTTATCAGAAAAAAGTGAGAGAGCCAGAAAAAATTCAATAGCGGCGTGAAAATTTTTTATTTGTTTATACATTTTTACAATAAATTAATGTCAAGTATTTAAGTAATAAATTGTTTATTTACTATTAAATAAAATACTTGAAGATTAACTGCATTTATTCAAAATAAAAACATCTACAGTGCACGCTATTTATTAATGAAACAACAAGATTGATATCAAGAATTAGTAAACACTTAATGGGAGCAGCAACTGCAGCTACACAGAAATCTAACTTTTGCGACGTCGGAACAAGAACATAAAACATCCAAGAGAACTGGCCCAGTCTCAACTCAGAAGCGGCGGTGTTTAGTAAAAATACGGACGTTTAACAAAGTATCCGTACGATACGCTGAAAGAAAGTTTGGCAAAAGACAGGGGGAAAAGTGAAATTGTTAATGAACCACAAAGTTAAATAAATACGCGAATTATTTCATCAATACTATCAACGGTTTTAAGCAGTGAAAAGTAATAAAAACAGAAGCGTGTGTTAATTTGTGGTGTTGAAGAAGGGCGTAAAGTGTTAAATATTAGAAAAAATATTTAATTTAAATACAAGAAATATTAACAGAGGTCAGCATCTTTAGCACTGAGTATACTATAGTATAAGTTTTTATTCATAATTATCATTATTTCCGTACGTTCAGGTTTTTGACTGACAACCAGCTGCTATTGAATATCCTCTCTTTTGAATATTTAGTTGTTTGACCAGTGGTGTCTGCCAGTTTAGTGATTGTTGTTGAGTATCATCTTCAATAACATCATTATTATCTCAAAAGTTATACAAAAAGATTTAATTCTCAATTTGGTACACTAACAACGTGTTGTTTACACCAATAAACTGCTCATCTTCATTAAAAACAGTTTTCCAGATAGTCTAACCGACCGACGGACATACATACATACTATCAGGTAGATATATTGGTGTTGTACCAAGTATTTAGTTGTGAACATTAGCAATACTAACGAACATCTTTGCGCATAATTCTTTAAAGTGTAATAAATAATTGAATTGCTGACGTCAATAATAAAAATTCTTATAAAAGTAAACTTTTACTTTTTCCAACTAAACAAGAGCAATAATATAAGTGTATTCTCTCTTGCTATCTATATTATATCTAGAACACTTTTTAAAACGAGATGGCTCCCCCAACGGTATTAGTAACGGGTGGTGCTGGTTACATTGGTTCCCACACCGTTTTGGAAATGTTAAATGCTGGTTATAATGTTGTTTGTGTGGATAATTTGTGCAATGCCTATAGTTCCAGTACGGCAAAACTTCCCGAAGCTTTAAATCGTGTCCAGGAAATAACTGGCAAGAAAGTACATTTCTATCGCGTCGATATTACTGATCGCGAACAAGTGCGCGCAGTTTTTCAAGAGGTAAGTCAGCTTCAATTACAATTATTTTGCATTAATCATATTCTTTAGACTTTAACAAATTTTTTAAGATTTCTTATTGTATACTTGTGTGTATACATTTGTTTAGGCGTGATTTGTGATTTGTTTCCATACATCTCCCAAGTATTTTGTATAGTTTAGTTCATTGCCCTTTTCATGGCCTACTTACATAAAATTAACATCTCATTTTTGAAATTTGCTGTTTATAGATCTAACTAAATTAGTTATGATTTTCCATATTATTTAGAGCGCACAATGTTTGTTGTGGGTAATATATTTTTAATATATTGTGTAATTTAAACTTGACATTGAATTATTGTTGATGGTTCATTGTCTTTTAAATATTAATGATTTTTTAGTATGATTTTACAGTGCAATGTTAAAATTTAAACAGAACTTTAAATTTACATCGATGTTTGTAAATATAGTAATGTTAATTTTATGTAAATTTTTAAAAGTTTATCACTTTAATTTTGTGACAAAATATTGTTTGAAAATTGTCGTTTTGTTTATTTTCAAAATGTTACATTTTACAAATGGAAGTTATTAAAGAAGTATCATAAAAACTGTAGTAATTATATAAGAATTTTTGTAAATTGAAAAGTTAAACGCTTTTTATTAAATTCCAAAATGTTACACTTAACAAAATTGGGTCACATGTTGTATTTTTCTTTGAATTAATAAATATATTTGTTTAACAGCTACAGCTGTAGAAACATATTTATGTTTGAACAGCTTTTTTATAGCTCCATTGAGTGTTTATTTTATTTGTTTATAAAACATCAATTTAATTCTTTTTAAATAAAAGTAAGAAATCTATTTAAACGTCTTTCTCTGAAAGATAAAACAAATTTGATTCAACTTAATTTTATATAAAATTCTCGAATCAACTACTTTTTGAAGGTAAACAGTCTAAAGTGCTTTATGTCAAATGATAAGATAATGAAATTAATAAGAAATTTTTTCTTTTAATAGATATAAAAACATAAACTTAATTTGATGAATAATCCAGTACTACACTAAACTTAAAAATGTCGAAAAATCGAAATTAAATAGGAAAATTTAGTGAATGTTTTTATGGTTGAAAATTTAAACTGAATTTTTAACTAGTTCCTGTAGCCCAAATTTGCTAAAATTTGGCATACAGTATTGTTCGAAACCTAAGCAACTTTTTTTGGCATTGAATACAAAGTGCTATATTTTCTATTTTAATTTATTTATAACATTATGTGTCTACAATGTTGTTATTATAATGTAGACTCATAATATTATACAAATCAATTATATAATTTTGAATAAATCAATTAAAATAGAAAATATAGCACTTTGTATACAATTCAAAAAAAAGTTGTTTAGGTTTCGAACAATACTGTATATGTAGACAACTGATGAAAACATAATATTATGTTCTAAATCTAAAAATTCGATTCGAAAATTTTTAATTATTTAAAAAAGAATAGTCATATTGCCAGATATAAAATTTAAAGCAAAATTGCAAAAAAATTCAAATTTGTTTAAATTTTCTTGATTTTTGGTCAAACTAAACAAAAACTGAAACAGCTAACCAATTATTTAATACTTTAAAACTTGTCATAAAAGCATATATAACATAATTCTCAGTATTCGCTTTCGTTACAAAACATATTGTGTCTGCATCAACATATTTCTTTGATTTTCATAAAAAATACATATTTTAATTTAAAATATATCATTAAATAATTTCCGTCTGCTTTTAAATTTTTTATCGTGTTGGCAGTTTTTTTTAAGAATTTGTTTGTAGAATTTTATATAAACAATACACTATATAATATTCTTACATATGTACATGCGCTTATTGTTAAGATAACTAAAAATAATATTTTTAATATTTCACAATGTTGGACGTACATTTCTGTTTGCTTCCCTTTTTGGTTTGTGTACGTGTTAAAAAAAAAAAAACTTTATCGCATTCTTGAAACAATGTACATATAGCTAAAATATCAAATTAAAAAAAGGTCGTTATCAATTAAAACATATTTTTTATGTTATTTGTTTTTCTCAATAACATACATTAAATGATGCATTTTGTATTTAATTTTTTTAATTTCTTTTAGCATCATAATTACAAAATTCAGAATACACATATCAGCCTATAGTTATTACATTTATTTTTTTATTTTTCACTATCAGCATATTGTTTTACAATTACAATTGTTTGCCTTTTTTAATTCTTATCAGTGTTTTTAATGCAATTTTACTATTATCATTGTTGTTTATATTTGTTTGGAACTTGTAATATTTAGCTTTAATATGTTTTATTATTTAAACTATTAATTGCCAGCAGTATCTGTTTCTTAAGGTCAAAATATTTTCTTTATTTTCAAGTACTTTGATCACGTACTTGCTTCAATTGAATTCATATACATACTTACATATGTATGTAAGTGTGTTTATTTTTGTGCATGTATTTGGATTAAACAAAATTTTGTTTAGAATATTTTCATTGAGTGTAGATTTTCACATTTTATGTTTTTTTATGGGTATTGATTACAAAGTAGAGATCATGACGCACGTGTTACTCTTGATGGGTGATGGAATTTTAATTAAATATTAATCACGTGAACGTTGATGTTTGTTAAACAAACTTGTTTCCAAATTTCGCACGTATTAATACAAAAAATGTTCATAGTTAATATATGTACAATAGGGTGATTACTTTTATTTGCTTTTTATACCCTACACCACTATAGTGGGGAGGGTATTATACGTTTGTGCTGAAAAATATTGGTCCTACACCTTTAAGTATACCGATCGACTCAGAATCAAATTTTGAGTCGATTAAGACATGTCCGTCCGTCCGTCTGTCCGGCTGGCTGGCTGTCCATGTAAACCTTGTGCGCAAGGTACAGGCCGCAATTTTCAAGATAATTTGATGAAATTTGGACCAAGCATGTTTTTTGGACGAAGCCTATTGAAAATGGTTGAAATCGGTCCATAATTTAACTTGGCCCCATACAACCGTACCTCCCGATTTGAGTTTTTTATGCCATAATTACGTCAAATATGCTATTATCTCTCTAAAAATTGGCACAAATAAGTTTTATATAAGTATAAATGACACTGCAGATTTTCGTAATGATCGGCCCTTATTTGACCCTAGCCCCCATACAAAGCCCCCATCAAAAAATGTATTAAACGTCTAAAGTTGACTTGTAACCATTTGTATCGCAATGAAACTCAACATAATTAACTATTATTTAACAATATATCCTTTTCCCAAATTTAATGAGGATCGGCCCATGTTTGACCTATACTCCTATATAAAGCCTCATTTAGAAAATTTGTTTTTTATCAATAAATTGCTTAAATACTTTGGAATTAAGGTAAAATTCAACATAAATGTTTATTTGTGAAAAATTAAAATTTTTAAAATATTCTCATGGTGTAGGGTATTATATGGTCGGCCATGCCCGACTATACTTTCCTACTTGTTTAATTTTAAACCGATCCATTCCACATAAAGGATGTCGAAAAATATTTTTGTAGAAAACGTTATGAAAGTACATCGTCTGATGTTCAAAAACTCAGTTTCCAGGACCTGTTCAGTATTTGTGATGTATGCTCCAAGATATGTATGTATATAGATCTAAATTCGATGATGAAAGTGTTCCAGAGTTTCACTCTGCACATTGTTTGCCTTTCTCTGAATCAGCTCGTACAATTTTGTTTATTTGTCTGCGTAATGTGCGTGTGTTCTACCAAAATACTTATAGGACTGGAAAGACGCAGTCTAAGGGTTCTGATAGGGTTTCTAACTGGACACTGCTCAGTTAGAACCTTTGTCAGTAAGTGGGACAGTAGTATACCGGACTATTGCAGGATATGCGAAGATGAGGAGGAAGTAGAGACGATCGAGCATATTATCTGCTAATGTCCTAGCATACAAAACCTCAGGCTGAAATGGCTAGGGAATAGGTTCCACGGCGAACTGGGGGAAATTGCGGGACTTAACCCTCGCAACCTACTAGGTTTTGTCAAGGGAATTAGTCACTTCTTTGACTGGGCTTTATAGGAGGGCATGAATTTTCGTTATTATTTATGATTATTTATGTATCTGTATTTTACTATCTATTCACATATCCTCTTTACCTATTTTCTTTCTTTCTTGTGTTGTTGTAGCGTTTTTGTCTTCTCTGTTTTGAATCTTCACTTCTTGAAGGGAATCACAATGGACCTTATGGTCTCCGAGTGGATATACGCCGTTTTTACGGTGTATAACCCTTCCCAACCTAACCTAATCATGTGTGTTCACTCATCACCTTTCCAAAGAAAGTAGCACGATGTCTTAAATAAGTATAATCGTTTTTCGTTGCCGATTATTGCCTGGAAGCTATGGCTGGTACCCATATGATGCAAATCTTACCACTGAAAGAGTATTCGCTTAGTTCTCTGTAGCAGTCCTAATTGCCTTTTGACTGTCGGTAGATATATTAAACTCTGTTGGCACCATATTCAAATACATTTTTGCCTGAAGCTAGTGGTATGATTAGATTTTTGGGTTTTAAATGTAGATCCACAAGACCGTTTTAGAGCCATGTGTGCAGCTATGGATACCTATGGATATTTGCTCTAATGTTTGCTAAGATTTTCCATAAAGTTGCGAAATTTTGTAGAATAAATCAATTTAAAAATATGCGCAAAAAAAAAATAAAAAAAATAAACATATATTCCTATATTTTTTTTTCTTTTAGCACAAAATTGATATGGTAGCACATTTTGCTGCCCTTAAAGCTGTTGGTGAATCATGTCGCATTCCCTTGCAATACTATCACAACAACATGACCGGCACAAATGTCTTGCTTGAGGCCATGGCCGATAACAATGTTTTCAAATTTGTATACAGTTCTAGTGCTACCGTTTATGGAGAACCACAATTCCTACCAGTTACAGAGGAACATCCAACTGGCAATTGCACTAGTCCCTATGGTAAAACTAAATACTTTACAGAAGAGATTCTTAAGGATTTATGTAAATCAGATAAGGTAATTAGCTAATTTTAAGATTAAAAACTAGAAAAAATTATTAATAATATTAAAATGATCTACTATTTTTAGCGTTGGGCAGTAGTGTCTTTGCGTTATTTTAATCCTGTGGGAGCACATCCCACTGGACGCATTGGAGAAGATCCTAATGGTGAACCAAATAATTTAATGCCATACATAGCTCAGGTAGCTGTGGGTAGACGCGATTGTCTACAAGTCTACGGTACCGATTTCCCTACCAAAGATGGTACTGGTGTACGTGATTATATACACATCGTTGACTTGGCTGAAGGTCATGTTAAAGCTTTAGATAAACTACGTAATATAGCAGAGACTGGTTTCTTTGCTTATAACCTGGGAACTGGTGTAGGCTATTCTGTACTTGAAATGGTTCATGCCTTTGAAAAGGCATCTGGTCGTAAAATAAACCATAAACTTGTAGAAAGACGTTCGGGTGATGTGGCCACCTGTTTTGCTGATGCTTCTTTGGCTGCAAAGGTTTTAGGTTGGAAAGCTAGTCGCGGTATTGATGAAATGTGTGCTGATACTTGGCGCTGGCAGAGTAATAACCCCAATGGTTATGCTGTAAAATGATTTAAATTATTAACAATTGCATTTTTAAACTTTATTATTTGATAACAAAACATTCTTCAAAACATGTATTTTTTTAATGTTTATTCAATTAATTTTGTGTGTGTCTGTATGTACAGTGATGTGTTTGTTAATGTACATAAGTTGTAGTATATCTTGCCTTGTTGTCACTAATTCTGCTGATGACAGAAACGATGCTCATCTATGTACAGCAAATCTACAGTACAATACAATATTTTAATCATTGATGTTGTGTTTGTTTTGTTTTTTTATTTTATTATTATTATTTTTTTGCTTTAAAGTACATAAATTAGTCATTGTTTAATTAAAATTCACACAATATAAATAATATTTTTATTTTATTTAAAAGCAATTTTCCCCTCTATAACAAATATTTTTTGTTCCTTTATTTCTTTTATTGTCTGTTTTAGTTTTTAGATAAACATAATTTTATAAAAAAAAATTATAAATATTTAGTTCAATTATGAAAAAATCAAATGCATTTAAGCATTGCATAACATATATTACTATAAATTATATTATTACGTGTATTACCTATGTAAAGAAATAAAAAAGAAAAAAAAAGAAAGATTATTATGCAAATAAAAATGTGTAAAATATTTCTAATTATTCAGCTTTTTTTCTTTAAATTTGGGATTTTAAATAAGAGCCATTAAGATTTTTCATAAAAAATGGAGTAAAGGGTTTAAAGCTGTGGTAATAGACCTCTTGTAAATATGATGTTTTGTTGTAAATTTATATACATAATACATATGTATATACCCTACGGCTGGCAAATTGGTCCAGTTTATTGACTTTTCTCTGGTCTAGTATATTTTTTTTTGAGTTGTATATGGACTATTTTTAGGAGGATATGGTCTATTCTATAGATAATACTATTGTCTAGTCTATAGTACACTCTTGTCGTTTATTTCTAGTATATGTGTAGTTTATAGACTATTGACTAATCTACTGAATAGTCTATAGACTAGTATGTTGTCTATAAACCAGTATATTTTCTAGTTAATATATTAGTAGTACTAATCTATGGACTATTACAAGTATTAATAAGTATACTTACTAATTCGGATTGAAATTGTTTTGTTCTAAATTGATATAAATTTGGAAAAATTAATTTTTATTTGGTAAGAATCAAAAACTGTTGTTAACTCTTGTTTTGTACGAAAATTCCATTTTCCATTCCTGTGCTATAGTAGGGAGGGTATTATAGGTTTGTGCTGATATTTGTGACGCACAAAAATATTTGTCTCATACATACCATAAGTATATTAGTCGGCATAGAATGTCCATCCATATGAGCCTTATAATAAAACTAAAGATCATAAGTATAATAATCGGCATAGAATGTCCATCCATGTGAGCCTTATAATAAAACTAAAGATTGCAATTTTTAAGATAATTTCATGATGTTTGAAATTGGACCATTATTTTAACTAGCCCTTATACAACCGGAACCACCGATAATCATAATTACGTTAAACATACCAATATCTGAAAAAGCTTCACTTATAAATATTAGTTTCACGATGAATTTCGGCAAAAATAGCAATAAGTAAATCTATGAGAATCGCCTCCTGTATTATCCTATTCTCTTTTAAAAACGGCTTTAATTTACATTTTAACCAGACATGTAATATAGAGAACGTACTTTTCTACGGATTCTACCTTGTTATTGTTATATTGTGTCCTAGAGCATAATGAGTTTTTAGAAACAATCATAGATTTATTTTACAAATTTAACTATGTATGTATATGATTTATTTAAAATTAAAAACTTATTTATATATTTATTACGTACAACTACAATTTATATTAAAAATGAATGCATTTAAGATAACAAATATTTTCTACCATACAATTGAGCCTTCTTCTCAAACATGGGAGATTTAATAGGCGTATTTACTTTATAGAACGAATTCATTGAATATTTTACATAAGTCTCATAGACCTCATTAAAGAAATTCTTAATGCCTTCATCATTTTTATTGTCGTGGACAATAAGAAATCGTATCTGACTGGCAGTAACGAAAGCAGATACAAACCATTGATTAAATCGATCTATTGATTTCAAATGCATATTGGGAGTTTTCCATTTGTGTTCATCGACTAAATCCAAAGCTGCATGAGCTATAAACTGAGATAAATGACGATGATCTTCTTTCTGGAAAGAAATTAAGGGGAATATTAATAATGGATATCTAGGATTCATCGATTATGAACTTACTCTCATTTCTTTGCTAACTGTTGTGAATTCCATTTCAAATATAGGATTATCATTGTGGCCCACAATAACGAAATAAAATGTGGGCATTTTGACTTCTTAATATATATTTTTATTTGGAAAAGGATATAAGAAAAAAATATTCAATTATACAAAAATTGTTGATGACGATTTATTGTTACCTTTTTTAGATACAGCTGTAAAGGTGAATCAATAAAGGGTGAAATCAGTAAGAAAATATTTATTTTGTATTTCCCTTATTCACAAACAACATTTTTATTTTATAAAAGGTTTATAAAACAAAATTTCCATACAAAATCTAATTTATAAACCGTTTATAAAATAAAAATTCGGTTTGTGAATAAGGGAATATGTATTTGCTAGTGATATTTTTTATGTATAGAGTTTGACAATAAATTGTCATACATAAAAACAATCAAATGCTCAAATGACTTCACCTTGTATGAATTCTCCTTGACAGCTGTGTATAAAGCAAATGTAGCCAGATTTTCGTGAAATTGAGTAAAGGGTTTAAAGCTGTGGTAATAGACCTCTTGTAAATATGATGTTTTGTTGTAAATTTATATACATAATACATATGTATATACCCTACGGCTGGCAAATTGGTCCAGTTTATTGACTTTTCTCTGGTCTAGTATATTTTTTTTTGAGTTGTATATGGACTATTTTTAGGAGGATATGGTCTATTCTATAGATAATACTATTGTCTAGTCTATAGTACACTCTTGTCGTTTATTTCTAGTATATGTGTAGTTTATAGACTATTGACTAATCTACTGAATAGTCTATAGACTAGTATGTTGTCTATAAACCAGTATATTTTCTAGTTAATATATTAGTAGTTAATATATTAGTAGTAAATTAAGGGGAATATTAATAATGGATATCTAGGATTCATCGATTATGAACTTACTCTCATTTCTTTGCTAACTGTTGTGAATTCCATTTCAAATATAGGATTATCATTGTGGCCCACAATAACGAAATAAAATGTGGGCATTTTGACTTCTTAATATATATTTTTATTTGGAAAAGGATATAAGAAAAAAATATTCAGTTATACAAAAATTGTTGATGACGATTTATTGTTACCTTTTTTAGATACAGCTGTAAAGGTGAATCAATAAAGGGTGAAATCAGTAAGAAAATATTTATTTTGTATTTCCCTTATTCACAAACAACATTTTTATTTTATAAAAGGTTTATAAAACAAAATTTCCATACAAAATCTAATTTATAAACCGTTTATAAAATAAAAATTCGGTTTGTGAATAAGGGAATATGTATTTGCTAGTGATATTTTTTATGTATAGAGTTTGACAATAAATTGTCATACATAAAAACAATCAAATGCTCAAATGACTTCACCTTGTATGAATTCTCCTTGACAGCTGTGTATAAAGCAAATGTAGCCAGATTTTCGTGAAATTGATACCGCAGAAATTAAGGCGTATTCAGAGAAGGAAAAAGAATAATTCTTAAGTTATTGGTTTACAAATATTTTTTCAACTTTAATGTCATTCATTTTTTGTAAATATAGCGTTCTAATATAGCTGATTTTAACAAAATGTATGTACCACAAGATAGTTCTTTTTATTCCGAGTACAAAAAGAGAAACAAATTTCTTTCAAAACTTGAGCAAAAATTCACTTTTTTATATGAAGTTTCCTATATGAAATGTATGTGTTTACTGCCGGTCCACACTAGTAAACATTTTTTGGGAAACTTTTGATTTTGCGTTAGAGAGAAAGAATATCATTCATCTCTCTTGCGGTACGGAGTTTCTCGTACTCGGACACTTGTTTTGTACAACAACAAATCAATGCAATTAATACGTAGTTTCTGAAACAAAAGTTTCTATGTGTGGACATTAAGGAAACTTCAAAAGAGAATTAAGAAAAAGTTTCTCAACAAAAGTTTCCTAGTGTGGACCAGGTTTTATGTTTTGAACACCGCAAAACTACCTCTGGCGAAAAAATTGTATAGGATATTGTAGAAAAAATTAATAAAATATACATACTTGTTTGTGTATTGAACGCAGCAAAAGTACACCAAACGCGTTGAGGCGGAAACGCGTTCTACGGAACAACGATCTTTCTTTTAATGTTTTTTAAAAATGTTACTGTTTTAAAAATCAAAATTTAAAGGTTTTATCTATTTTTTTTTAATATTTCCTTTCATTGTTGGTGAATTTTTTTTAATTTTAGTTTATTCTTATTCAACACCCAACAAAATACAACCCTGATCAGCTGCCGATGCGTCAAAATTTAAAAGTTGCTGAACTTTTCGCGGCGGACGCGTTATAAACTACAGTGTGTAACTTGTTAAACTAAAATACACTATTTCAACTCTTTTTGACAGAAACCTATAACGCATTGCGCGTACAGCGGGTGTTGTGTACTTCTATTTAAATGAGCAAAAAATTTCAGTTCAACTCTGTCTTGTCGTTTCTTTGCGATCTATGTTTGTACTGGCAACCCTAACACAAGTCGTTTGTTGGTGTAATTACGGCTTTGCAAAATATTTAATTATTTTCGTCTTCTTCATTGTTTTATTTATCGTTCAAAACATTCTAGATCCAAAAACATTAGAAAGATTAGGAAAACACGTTAAGGGATAATACTTAACAAAATTTTCCACAAAAATTGTAAAATTTTTTCAAGAAGACGCAAAAATGAATATTTTTGATTTGCCAAATGTGATGTTAATCGAAATTTTTGAGTACCTCAGTTACGACGAAGTGTCCAAAAAAAGATTGGTAAGTACTAGGCAAAAACAAATAATTTGTTGCCCAATTAATGTAAACAATTGAAAAATTTTCCACTTAATAAAAGGTATGTAGACGTTTCGATCAAATTGCCCAACAAGTTCTCAATGGAGGCTTCAATAAGGTCATTAAGCAACACAGTGTTAGCTTCAAACGCATCAAAGCTTTACTGCCAAGACGGGAGTCGGAGAGACGGTAATGAATGAATGACATTGATATATATATACATATATTATTTTCATTCGGGTCCATATATTAATTTTTTTTTTTTAATTTTTAGAAATCACTGCCTAGCACGTCATGCCGATATACTTACTTCCATTGAAACCAGAATCTCGATGCTATCCATGACTTATACTAAATATATGGACCTAAATCTATGCTGCTTTATACCCGGTCGTGTACTTGATGAAATTTTTCGCATTTTACGTTTAATATCGAAAACTAATAAACCACTGAGGCCTCACGAGGTTTTGCAAGAGTTACGTGACATTTCATCGATGGCCATCGAGCATTTTGATGAAAAGATTGCCAATAATCTTAAGAAAACATTTGCCGACTCCAGTAAAATGTGTGGTGGTAGTGGTTATTGTGCGGATACTAGACGATTGGCAGCGACTAGTGGTTTGGGTAATATATCGTTCAGTGGCATGGGAACTTCAAATCCCGCAACATTAAATAGTGCCGCAGTCTCTTTATACGGTAATAATTCATATGTTCTGGAACCTCTTACACAACGTTTAGGTTTTATTGGCGAACGTCTAAGTGGAAATTCACTAAAAACAACTTTGAATGAAAGCGAACCTGTACAGTCTTCATTGCCATCAACATCTGCAGGATTTCTGGAACATTATCAACACCCTGTTGGAGGATGCCCAGAAGCTCGCACAACCATGATGTACTTTAAGAAACTAGAAACTGAATATAAGAAGGGAATTGTCAAGGTAATTGTGTTAATGTGTTAATGGAATACAGTAAAGAAAGAATTGAGATGTTTACCCAAATAAGGACTTTTATCATATTACAAATTATTTGCCGTATGTTTTCAAAATAATTTTGGGTTTAGTAATAATGTTCATAAGATGGACAACATTTATTAAAAAGTATTTACTCCATTATTACCATTTTCATAAAAATACCTAAGAAAATAAGTTTTACTAAGGAAATTAAAAAAGAAAATAACAAATAGTCATCACTAGGCCACACAAATTTTATTGGGAATAATCGTAAAATCGAAAAAAGCTAAATTTTGTGTTTTTATTTGATCACATGTACATATTTCCAAAATAATATGTATTATCTTGCAGATGCATCGTATGCAGCAGGTGCAAAATCTACAAAATAAAAGATTGCAACAAACCTTAAGTTCAGTTGCCGAATTAAACGTACAAATTGTGGAATTAAAGAAACGTTTGGAAGATGTCGATGCCAAAAATCGCGAAATATCGGCCAATATAAGACATATTAGTGGTGGTGAACCCACTAAAGCTGAAAATGTAAATACTACTACAGCCAATAAAATTGATGGCAATAATGATGCAAAGGATGAAAAAACTTCAACTAGCCCCAGTACAAGCAGCTCAGTAACAATGACATCGGATAAGAATTCGAAGAAAAGACGTATCGATGATGATGGTCACTTGCTTACAAAACCAATAGAAGATGCTATTGAGAAACCTGAAGAAAACTGTGATCTACAAGTGAAAAAAGCCAAACTGCAATCTTAAATTGATCAAAAATTAAAGTATTTACATAATTCTAGTGTTTTTGCTTTCGCTATAACATCTATCAATCAAATTCTATTAGTTATAATTTTCATATGCATACATTATTTTTTACATGTATTTCATTACTTTTTTTTAATATTTAAAAAATATAAATACATATGTACTAAATAAATATATATTTTGTAATAAAAATATATATATACATAAAGAATTATCGTTTGCTGAAATATAAAATTAACAATTATATGGATTTCATTTTATATGTGTAATCAAATAATTTTCTAAGGTACTACTATCAAACATGTTAAATACTTTAATTAGTATGTTATTTAAAATTGATTTTTTTACTTCTGAAAAACATCTGTAGTTTTATATTTAATTTAACGATATATAAGTGTATGTATTCAATATTATGAATATGTTACGAATTAAATACATATTATGAATTATTTTATAAATATTACATTAATTTTCTTTTATAGAAAAAATATTGCAGAAATAAAGATTTTTTATAATTAATGTGTTTTTATTTTCGAGAAAAAGATTAGTTCATTCTGATTTAAGGGTCTGTTCTGAAATACATCACTGCACAGTCTCTGATTAGTTTTCGATGCGGATACAAATAAGTTGTTGCGTAGTTTATACGCACTTTTTTGAGCATCATATGTACATTTGTGATGTTTTTCCTACGTACTGCGCATCAGATGCATTTACGAACAGGCCATAAACTATTTAAAGATTTTTTTATTTCATTTTTTAATTTTTGTTTTTGACAAGTCATAAAATGTGCATCACATTATACATTTCCGAACAGGCTCGAAATTAACAGCCACATACACAAATCTATTCACAACAATAAGAATTAAGTTGTTCAAAAAGGAGTTATGTTTTCATGATTTCTTTATTCGTCCCTATTCTGTATTTGAATTCGAATCGAAATTTTCACCGTTTGGCAAATTTGATATTCATCATTTTGATACGCTCTGTCACTAAAATAACGACAGAATACACACAATCTTAAAGCACGATTCTCATTAACAAGCTAATGTTAAAATCAAGCACGATACTTCTGAAGTCAAGTGGAAATTCTTCACATTTGCAGACTCAACTTTGAAAAATTGTTACATTTTAAGAATAGATTTTAAGAATAGATTTAATTCATTCGGAAGAAAAAACGAGCCCTTTACCCTATTATATTTTCCTTCGGCTATATTTCCTTCCCATTTTCATAATCCTAGTTATAAACTTCTAACGCTATCCTTCCTTTGTCTGGGTAACAATCTTGTAACGATGCGAGGTCTTTACTACATTATGTAGTCATGGTCTTGTAAAGGTAATGTTAGCAATATGTGAACGAACGAAGGAGATTATAAAGGTTTCGAAGAAGTGACATGTTAGACTGTGATTTGGACAAACTATTGGGGATATTAAGACTCCATTGGAAAACTTGTGCCACTCAGAAGTTTAGAGAAATTAGTCTGCTTTCTGAATGTTGGCATGATATCTGTAGTAGAAATATATGATATTATTGTAGAAACGCAGAGTTATCGAATCCCACTGATGAAGACTTGTGGATCCAAAGTAGTCAATCGGAAGAAGGTCGTCCACATGGCGTAAATGATGCCAAAATTGTTCAGCGGGTCATCGTGAAAGTGTTCCAAATACTGGACGAACCAAGGAGAATATGTCGTAGTACAATACCAAGAATTTTCAGGATTTCTTGCTAAGATGGAGCAGAGAAATCGTGCGTCGTTTGTTTGTGAATTTCTTAGAATATGTTCGTAAGAAAGCAACAGTAAATTGAAGATACATGAAAGAAAACTTTTCATTTTTACAACTTTGTATGCACATGCGTTCTAGCTCTGGTACGTTAACACTCAAACAGAGAACTGTTAACTTAACAGGAGGTTTGTAACTTGGGTTATTACACATTTCTTTATAATTTTCTATTTACATACTATTTATGTTTATTGAGAACAAAAACTAATTGATATTTAATTTTAAATACTGTATTTATGAATTTTTATATTTGATTTTTATTGTTGCACATTTGTTAATATCTACATTCTATAATAATACATCAATATATATTAATATATATAGATATGGAAATAAAGTTAACAAAAATATAATTAGTTGAAAAAATAAAAGATACAAATAATTATTATAAAACATAAGTAAATATCCATTTAAATAATGACAAAGTTATTGGTAAACCAGAATTATTTGTTAAAAAAAAAACATAAAATACTTTTAGTAGTTTTAAAAACTACTTTTTTATTTTGTGTATAGATTATTGGAAAAATAAATGAAAATGAAAATTATTTATATACTTGTATAAGGAATCCACATTAAAATATATAATATATTAGATCATTTCATTAAACAAATAAAATAAATTGAGGTCATTATAAAACTATGGTCTGCCATACATACTTATACAACTAGTTTTTTCTTTTTTTTTAATTATTATTTGTTTTACATTTTTTATTTAAGGATTAATACAAATCTAATGCTAGTTTATAATTCTAACAAATCAATATAGGCTTGGGTTTCAATTCATTTTCTTTTTTATTATTATTTATTTTGTATTTTAATTCAATGCAAAACTTTCAAACATGAAATATAAATTGAATTATCTTTGATGTCGAACAGTTAATAGGTTATTTAAAAAAAATGAGAAGCTTATCTACCATATATTGTTTATTTTTTGTTATAGCTAATACATATTATTAAGTGTTTATTATTTTGCAAAAGAAATAAAATTTATTTTTCACTGTGATATAAAAAAAGAAGGAATTTCAAAATTTGCCATTATGTATGTATATTAAAATTGCAATTTTTTCATTTCTGGAATATTTATTATAATGTTATTTTTTTTTTAATTTGTATTCATACATTGAAATACATTATTTACAAGAACAAGGGTATGTTGTGTTAGATTTTTACAGTTAATCTAAGCGAAATTCCAAAGCAGATGTACAAGTCCACAATGCTTAAAAACAAAACAAAAATATAATAAATCAGACAAAAATTTATTAAATAAATTTCACCACTTCTTGAGATCGTTATCAAATTAAAAAATAGTTCTCTTTTCAAAATGTAAATTAAAAATCAGAATGTATTTTATTTCGAAGTAATTATGAATTATTTTCACATATGTAATGAAGCTGGCTGATAACCGCTTTGGTAGATTTAAAAATCGATTTTATTCAGAACTTTTTTATTAAAAAAGTTCATGCTCTAAAGAATAAAAAGTATGTAAGAGTTTCACGTTCGGACTAAAATGTATAAGTTTATAGTAAAAAATAGAACTCTTAATTTTATTCAGTTAAAATTTAAATTCATTATACATATGTATGTATGTATAAATAATTTCGCTTAGATCAACTACTGTATTTATAGAATTGTGAAGATTGTTTCCAGTTAACTTTTTTTTTTTGTAAAGTTAAACTCATTTGCATTTTATTTACAAAGAGGAAATAAAATGCATTTTATAAAATTTTCTTTTTCTTTCTCTTTTTTGTGGAAAGTTTAGAATTATACAACTATTTTTGTTTCTTACCAGTTACTGCACGTTTTTGTTGTATTTTATCTTTCAGATTCTTAATGAGGTTCTCAATATCGTCGATATTATAGGCATAAATAAGCTTACATTGTTTGGCTTGTATGTTGCCATTATTGAGATTTTTCAAAGCATGTTGAAGGCAGTAAACGTTACCTTCATCAGTGCGCACCATTGAAATGTAAAGATTTGCACGGCAAAGATCACATTCGCTTTCAATGGATTTATGTGGAGGCTGTTGTTGTTTTTTACCTTTACCACTTTTTTCATTCGAAACTTTTTCCGTTGAAGTTACACCAGCAGCCTACAAATAAATATTGTAATGTTTAACTTTAGAAAACTGTATCAAAATATTGAGTACATATTATGTTGCTAAATTAGCAACAACTCTTTTAATTATGCTACAAAATACTACAATTTTTGTATGTGGTAATAATAGAAAACTCACCTTAAGTTGCTCTCTGGCAGCAGTTTCTTTTTCAAATACCTCCTTTAGCATTGGTAGCATCTGTTGTAAGGTATCAGGAGTAACACGTTGGTCATAACCTAAGGCAAACAATAATTGTTCCAATGAGAACATAGCAGGTTCGCAGCTGTCATGGATATCCTAAATGAAGTAAACAAATAATATTGTTTAAATAACAATAATGGTGGAAAATGATAACACTTTATTATTGACTTACTCTAAAGTCATCTTTAGCTAAATCTAGCCAGGACGATGTTGCGAAATAGACACTCTCCGATACCACATAACCAGTTGCTAAACTTGATGTATAGGCTCGGGGAAATACTACGATGAACTCTCCAGGTTTCTGTTCAATACGACAGAGCGACACACCACGGTCGGTAAGCATATGTGGAGGTACCATAACAGTATCACAGGGTAACCAAATGGTTTTATTTTGACAGTGAGTAGGAATGAGTGAGGTCAGAGCAGCCCTAAAGTTAGCACTTTGATCGTCTGGTATGCCGTACCAAAGCTTCGAGGCACCGGTATGCAAATATTCAATCCACGACAAACCGTGAGGGTCGCGATACCAACAACAGGCCGAGAAAAGCATTCCGACATGCAGCGTTGGTACGGTTACACCCATGACAGGTCCCAAAGAACGCAACACTGAGCCAGTGTTGTTTGTAAGCACTTTTAGATTCCAGGGGTGTCTGGCATAATTTGATCCTTTGCCCTTCGGTCCGGGACTGGGAAAGCCGAAACCCCAACCAGAGGAATCTATTGAACCGGAATGTACACATACATGACTATCACGAACGGCCACATGGCGCCAAAACTCTGCTTCAACTTCATTAACGGTGGGCTCAGTATTCTTAAACCAGAGAGCCATTGTATTCCGTGCAATACGATAAAATTGACTCAATGGCATACTACGCCCCTTAACAATACACTCCATTGATACACCATCAACTTCTTCTTCAGACTCTTCTTCGTCATTCTCCGATGACACATCGTCTTCTTCATTGGAAACGCTTTCAGTGTTAACAAAGCGATCCGCGTTGCGTCTGGCGCGTGCTTCTCGTTTCGCCCAATCAGCTTCAACTTCATCAAAAAGTTTTTGCCGTTCGGCTGGCGAGAGTGTATCATATGGAAGCAAGTATTTGCAATAAATGTCATCTAATTTGGTCACGCGATCCTGCGCCAGTTTAGGAATGCACATTTCCTCAGCAACTCGGGCCCATTTCTTCTTCTCAATAACCTCCTTCAGACCACCCAGCTCTTGGACGGTGTGATAAAGGCGTGGTAAATCTACTTCCATACCACCTATCCAGGGTGGATGATTCATCACTATACTTTGAGTGGCTAAGTACTTTTTAATTGCACTTAACTCTTTTGCACTAGGACCCCATCGGTGTAATAATTTATGCACATATTGATTATAGGCCGTGAAGCGCATTTCGTCGGATATGCGACATTCAGGTTTAAAGGAAGCTGGTGGTATAATCTTACAGATGCCAAATCTAGCTGCAATGGGCGTAATACGTTCTATAAACTCAATAGGATCTGCAAACTCCTTCTCAGAGGGCCGGAAAATAGGAGCTTCCACCATTTGTGTGGGGTCATCGTGACGAGGGAAGGCTGTGTTATTAGCCATTTTAATGGGAGTGTCGTCTTTAAACTTTTTATTCGAACTATGGGCACCCGTACCGCTGCCAGAAGCACCTGCAGCAGCAGCTGCTGCAGCATTGCGCGATTTAACCGAGCCGGAAAACAGAGATGAATTCGAATTGACACGTTGTAAAGCACCACTGCCACCACCTCCGCCAGCAGATGTAGATGGACCTTGAGCAGCTGAATCTCCTTTGAATCGTGGTTGCACAGTTCCAATTGGTACATTTTTTAAACTATTCGAACATGAGTTTGTCGCCGCTGCTGCTGCGGCTGAAGTAGATGCACCCGATACTTTCTTGTCGCTCGTCATTAAGTTTTTTACGATATCTGAGACGTTCATAGTATCTGGCAGTGGTTTAGTGTTCGATCCCATTTGAGCCTTAGTCACAAGCGTAGCATGCATAATAACTTTTTGATTGGGACCATCGGGACCTTCACGACCCAATTTAACAGCCACTCCCTGAATTCCACCGTCACCATCACCACCAGTACCAACGCCTTGTAATGGTATGTAGAATGTATGGCCATCCCCTGAATCTGATTCAGCGTCATTAGCCGGTGGCTTTGGTTCACTCTGAATGTTTTTCTTGCCACCCTTTCCTCCCTTTGTAGTCTTTGTTGTAGTTTTATCACCGTCAAGGCTTACTTTAACCAATTTTGTTTTTTCCGATGGACTTAGAGTCAATGAAACTGAACTTGTTTGAGAATTACCTCCCGCCAATTCTTTATTGGCAATTTCAGCAACAGCTGCAGCATTTCGCTTTGGTTTCGTGGGTGGAGTACGCTGCACTGCAGTTGGCGTTGTATTAATACCATTATCGACATGCGAGTCCTTTCTGCTCTGTCGTCTGTACGTCGAAGGTTTGTTTGATTTCTCCTGGTCTTCTGCATCGTCTTTATCGAATGAATAAATTGATTTTTCATTCTCGACAGAAAATGCGGTGCCATAAGTTGTTGCCGCGCGTTTATGACTTGTAGTTGTTGATATTTTAAGGTCCGTGTTTTCCTGCTGCTGAAGTTGCTGCTGCTGTTTTGGAGTTTGTTTCTGCTGATAAACCGGCGTACGCTTAGGAGTACGATTAATTGAGTTTGATGTTGAATTTGTATTCCCAACTTCTGGAGGATTTACGGAATCGTTTTGATTCACATTTGTTGGCTTTTCCTCCATGACCACCTCAGGCGCAGCCTTTTTACGATTTTGTTTATTAGAAGTGGCTGTCGTTGTCGGAGTTGTGACCGGAGATGGTGGAGCTTTCTTTTGATTCAAAGATTTTTGGTTAGAATTTTGTTTAGCAACTGTCAAGGATTTATTTGTTGTAGTTGAAGCCGTCTCCTTCTCAGCAGATTTGCTCTGTTTGGTCTCGTTTGTTGAAGTTTTGGTGGTAGGTTTATCTTCTTTAGCCTTTTTCTCATTCTTTTTCTCGGATTTATCTGATTGTGTAAGTTTTTCGTCCACATCTACACTTCCTGGATCGGGCGACTGTTTGTTGGCCGGCGTTTTGTCGAATATCAAATTCATTACCGGGGAAGTCTTCTCCATCTCCTCATCTAATCGGGGACTCGTAGGTTCAATAGGTTTAATGTCTTCCTTTCTACTATTAATTGCACTGGTAGACGCAACAACGGGGGTGGCTTTGAGAGAAGGTCCTTTAGCAGACCAAGCACTTTCACTTTTACCCAAATCACGAGTGGCTTTTGACGAAGAACTAAATGAAGTGCTTTCCTTGTCATCACGAGTTGGTGGCGGTGTAGAGCTGAAGTTGTTTGGTCTTAAATCTGAATCAAAATCATCATCAAGATCGTCTTGAATTTCATCAGGATTCGAAGAACACTCAATTAGCCATTTGTGTATTTGTTCGTGGGTCATATTCACTTTAGCTTTGCGCCTCTCTTTTCCAGAAAGTTGATCACCAATATAACTTTCGGTTGGAACTACAGGACCTAGGACAGGTTTATGAATTGAACCGCATTTTCCCAATGTACACTTTGTATTATCGGGGCCAGAACTTTGGGCCAAACTCACACTCGCAATACCAAATATTTTTCCAGATTCCTCTTTGCTTGGCATTAAATTAGCCGCAAGTATGCTACCGATTTCGTCCTTCAAGGGATCGTTGCTCACCTGGCCGGCAACTGATGTTGATGCTGCTGGATTATTTCCCATAAAGTTCATGTTGCTGGATATCAGCGTTTTAGGACTCATTGCTACATTCGGAGCCGAAAGGGACGAGTTCTTTAATAAACCACTGCTTGAACCAGACATATCAAATTTCACTGGTGAAGGTGAGGGAAAAGCATTATTATTTCCAGTATTATTTCCAGGACGAGATAGAGTATTGCGATCAAATTTAGGCGTTAAAAAGTTGGGATTAATTTTTGGCGAGGGATATGCCTCGATTGGTGGTGGATATGTAGTTGGAGGAGTTTGATATTTTATTGGCGACTGAGCAGTCATTTGTGATGGAGGAGTTGTCAGATGAGAAGTGACAGTGTTTGAGGGAGGTGCCACAAGCGAGGGATTCTTCACAGATTGCACGGGAAATTGTGGTAAACTTGAAGTTGGCCGTATGTGTGATGAATGATAGTGGACTGGAGATTGTGGAACATACATGGGCGATTTTCCAAAATTTGTATTGATACCAGCTGCAATATTACCTGTGGGCGACGCTGGAGGGATGCCATATGTTGCTGGCACATTTAAAATCTTCGATGTTGGTATGGGCGACTTCTTTTCAATACTTTTAAATGGTGATTGTGATGTAGGCGTAACTGGAGCTGGAGGCTGAATATTACATGTTATTGGTGAAGTAATTGTCGTTCCCATTATACCGCTAATTGTAGAAGATGTTGCTAATGCCGTAGTCGGCGCCACACATGTTGTTACAGGTGCTGTTTGTGTTAATGGTGGAGTTAGTTGAGCATGTGTGGTAGTTGTGGTGGTAATAGATTTGGTAGTTAATGGTAGCATAGAGAGACTGATTAACCCCCCGCCACTTGAAGCAGGAGGATTTACTGTTGGTAAAGTTGTTGGTGATAGGCACTGACCAACGCCCGCAGACTTTGGAGAATCCTCCCCATCTTTTTCTCCACTTTTCACGTGCGCTTTTATTGCCAAAGGTTCATCATCTGAATCACTGAAGCTTTTTTCTAGTTTACGTTTAGTTTCGTTAAGTTCTTCATTTAAGAGAAAGTCTTCGTCATCCTCTGTACCTGCTTTTGAGGGTTCTGTTTTGCTGTCTTTGACCTCAGCTAAGTTTTCGGTAGATTGTGTCAATTTTGCAATAGCGCCTTTCTTTACGAGCATCCCTTCGATTTCTCGTTTTGGTGGCTGCACAGGTGGCTGTATTTTCGGATTTTTAGGCGGTCGACCCCGACGACCTGTTGTTGATGGCTTTGTTTCTGCAGCAACTACAGTTGAAACTGGAGCAGCTGTGGGCTGCGGTATATCAGCTGATTTCGACTGTTTTAGCGGTGGAGATCCTTTCCCTACTGTCGTAGTATTTCGCTTAAGTTCATTTTCCATTTTTTCCATTTCGCGGACATTTGGTCGATCGAAACTACTTAAAGAAATATCGTCATCATCGTCCTCCGCCATTTGCAACCGATGTCCTATTATACCCATATAAATAGTAGCTGCTTCTTTTGTTTTACGCGATGGTCTCTGATTCCTAGTGGGACTGCCTTGATTATCTTCTGTCTCGTTTTCACCAATATGTTCATTAATTTCAGTTTTTGTTTTCTTACGAGACTGTCTTGCGTTGGTTGATTTTTTAGGGGAATGTGGGGTAGATTCCTTATCTAAATCGTTTAAGACTTCATCATTTTCTTTTTTCTTCAAATTCTTTGCTGCTTGGCCAATAGAACGCTTTCCCTTTGGTTTTGGGGATTCGTCTTCAATTGGTGGCACAATGGTTTCTATAGTCGCAGCTTCCTTTTTATCACTTTCACCCAGTTCCGTTTTAATTTCTTCTTTTTCATTTACTTTATTGGTTTCTTCAATTATTTCTTTTTTTGGTGGATGCTTCTTTCCACGAGGGTTAATTTTCTTAGGACTTGATTTATTCGATCCAGTCTTTTTTAATTTAATCGTTTTAGCCAAAGGTTGTTCATCATCAGACGAAAAATCAAACACATCTAATTGCGTTGGTTTGTTTTTATCATCACCGACAACCGGTTGTTTTGGTATAGTTTTCTCATCTTTATCTGTGGCTTTTGCTTTTGATGATTCATTGACTTTATCAGTAGAACTGTCTGTGGACTTGACTTTATTTAATTTATCAACTGATTCTTCTATATCATCTTTTTTTATTTCATCCTGTGTGTCTTCATTATCTCTATGAGGCACCTTAACAGGCTCAAAAAATGCTCTTTGTCTAGTCATACGCCCAGATGGTTCTGGCGAAGGTATAAAAATTGGTGATTCCTTTTGTCTAGGACGTTTAACCGGGACCTTCTCTTTAACATCTGATTTAACTGATTCTTCTTTTTCTGTCTCTTTGCTGCTCTCTGTTTCTTTTTTCTTATTGATTGAAGTAGGCCTTCCTTTTCGTGATTTTCCTGTAGTTTCACTTTCTTTTGAAGGTGTTTCAGATTTTCTTCCTGAATTTACAGGAGTTTTTGTAATTTTTCGTTCTTTACCATCTACATCCGAATTAAGAGCTTTGCTGTTTTCATCGACCGCTGAGAAGTATTCGTCATCTTCATCTTCTGATAGATGATCAAGCATAACTTTTGATCCTTTTGTACTTGCACGATTTGATCGCCTTTTTGAAGTCTCTGTAGAATTATTGCACTTTTCTTCAGCGTTACTGCGGTTACTGCGACGATTGCCGTCAGCTACAACTTCTGCTCTTTTACGCACAGCGAAAGTGGGTACATCGTTGTCTTCCTCCTCATCAGCGTCATCCCCTTCTGCCACCTCAACTTGTGCTTTTTCGGGATTTTTATTTTGTTCTTCATTTTCAATTGTCTTTGTTTGGGTTTCTTCTGGCACGACTTCATCTTTTTTATTTGGCCCACTATCTTCTTCTTTAGCCGTTAAATTATCTTCTTTTTGTTTAGCATTCTTCGGTGGTCGGCCTTTCTTTCCTTTCTTTTTAATCACTGGTTTAATAGCCGGCTTTTTTGTCGGTCTTTCAGGTTCTTTACTTTTACCCTGATTTAGAAAATCCAAGTGTGGTGGCAAAGCCGAGGAACCACGAAAGCATAGAAATGTTAAAAAATCTTCTGTCTTTGGCCGTTTATTGGGCAAAATCTCCGTTGGTGGCTCACGACTTTCTGATGAAGTACTTGGCCCAGTATTAGATGAGGATGAAGCTGCGATAATGGAACTATATGATGATTGCGGTGCACTCTGTCCTTGTGCAAACTTGCGTTGAGCTTGAACTTTAGTTCTGTGAAAATTAAAGTAGAAAATAATGAAATGAGATGTTAATATTGAAGCTATTATAAATATAGCTAATAATAAGAACACAAGTCCAAAGAAGTATACTAATAAATAATATGTAAAAGAGAAAATTAATGTGATTTGTACAATAAGAACTTCAATTTAAAATTAGAAATTCAAAATATCGAATTTATTAGGCATTTATTTTATATGACTTTTAAACAAGTCAAAGAATTTGTAAAATTGCAGATTCAGATAGTAGAGGTTAATATGTTTCTAATATAAATTGAAATTTACGTTTACAAAAAAATTCAATCTTACACCGAAAAAAATATACACATTTGAAATTTGATAAATCTACATGAAAGACTTTAGTATGACGCAGGTTTTGTAGTCCTCACGATTATGTCAGTCTTGTAGTAAATGAGCGATATGTAAATAACTGAGAATAGAATTAAAATGGGATTTTTTTGCAGTATATTTGTATTGCATATAGGGTTTTGTACAAGATTGGTTTCCGTACATGTGTCACAGATATTTACTGCATGCTTGAAATTAACATATACCGCAGTTAAACGGTAATATTTATACCCAAACATAGCTATGCAACACCTAAGTCCAATCGACCGATAAGTCTTACTTCCTTCCTACTTAAAACCTTGAAACGGATAGTCAAGTCGATTGTATGGTTAAAAGCAGTATACCAGACAATGATCTTATAAGCAGCATGCTTACGTAAAGCGACGATCGGTGAAAACCACTTTAAACGTAGAGGATAGGTTCAACAAGGCACATCGGTGCTGGGCGATATGTAGGAGAGCTATAGGCATGAAATGGGGTCTTCGTCCTACTATGACAATTTGGCTTTATAAAAGTGTAATTAGACCAATTCTAGCTTATGCTTCAATAATCTGGTGGACTGCTTTGGTCAAAAAGTGTATTATCAAACTACTACAGGGAGTTCAGCGTACATGCTGCTTGGGTATAAGTGGTGCCATTTGTAGTACTTCAACCAAGGCTCTGGTAACGTTGTTAGATATTCCACCCATTGAAGCATATTTAAGATATGAGGCGGCGCTTATAGCCGAACGTCTCTTTATTTTAGGCGAACTGCCAAAAGCGGTTAAAGGACACGTCTTCAATGTATACTAATCGCATACCAGACACAGAATATGTTGGAAACTTTGAAACGCTGATCCCAGATAGAATGTCAAGCGGAACATTAGAGCAAATACCAGTAGGAATCAGTTGCCACACAGATGGCTCTAAATTAGAGGGCAAAGTGGGCCTGGGGTTCTATATTGAAGAAACAGAAATATACCACCTAATCATAACACAAGCTTAAAGGCAGAAGTCCGAGCAAAAACGGAATGTGTAAATTGAATTATAATAAATATGGCGCCCACAGGGCTTAATATATTTACCGACAGCCAGAAGGCAATCAGGTGATAGAATTGAATCTAAGCCCGTATTGGATTGTAAGAAAGCTTTAACTGAATATTCTCCCAGAGGTAAGGTTTGAATCATATGGCTACCAGGCCACTCAGGAGCAGTCGGCGACGAAAGAGTGAATGTAATTGCTTTAAAGGGAAGGGAGCTCTAGGTAGTTAACCTGAGAAATCTCTTCAAAATGAGCAAGTCCGAGGTTAGTATGATGGTTCGTATTCTGAGTGGATTACGAGCATATCTATACAAAATTGGATGTGTGGATTCAGGCGAATCTATCTTCGGGATCCAAATTTTCAATAATTCTGTAAGACATGCTTTCGAGAAGTTTCCTATTAGAAATCAGCAAAATCCGTTCATAAATAACGGTGATATGAGCAAAAACCTGAGACAACCTCTGAAAGTTTCATCAAAAAAAGAAAGCAACTACAACAGTACTTATTGCAAAAAACGTACAAAAAACGTCTGGATGTGTGTTGATTTTATTGCTTTGCGTATTTGTTTTTGCTGTTTTGTTTCGTTTGGCGTAAATTGTTGTTGTTTTTTTGTTGTGTTAATGCTTAAGTAATGGTAGAGTCGGGAAAAATTAAATAAAATAAAATTTTATAAAATTAATATTTTCTCTGACTCTTACGTGTTCGATTTAAAAAGATGCTGAAGTGTTGAACATTTTATGTTCCCGCTATTATCAAATCAAAAATTTAAAATTTTCATACTTTATACGTTTTAATGTAAAAAAAACACTTAAACTACGGGATTTAAAAACACCGAAATTTCCGGGATTTCATTTTTTCAAATAAAAAAAAAAAAACGGGATTTTCGGAAATCGAGATTTTTCGTTTGGTATCATTAGTTTTGATCTATTGTTTAGTTTTTATAAACAAGTAAACTAAATACAACAACAATATATTAAACTTAAATAGGAAGCATCTTGAAAGCATGTTTTTTAGAAACAAGATTTTACTTCCGGAACTATCTGAGATCTTCAGAAACTTGATTTCAACAAATATACAGAAAAACATTTTCATTGAGAATATAATCAATAGTAGCTATCTCCTAGAAAACACCCCCACATCCGTTATATAAATTAGTTTGAATAATTTTCTGTTGCAAAACAAGTTTCCTTACTAATTTGAACTGCCTAATGGTTTTTGAGATATCGCTCATACACATATCTTTGATAAATTAAAAAAACATCGTATTCTATTGCTTTTTTTTAGCAATTTGGTTTATTTTAATCCATTAAATTACATAATATATAATATATATTGATATAAAATCAAATTTCTATGGAAGACTCTATCAAATATTCAACCATTCTCAAAAGGCTTCGTGCTTCGGTCAAGTATATGCCATCAAATTATCTTAAAAATTGCGACCAGTACTTTGATAACAAGGTTTACATGACAAACAGACGGACGGACATGGCTTAATAATTTCAGAAAATGATTCCGAGAGGATTGGTAACTTTAAGGTGGACAAAAATCAGTACAAACCCAATATACACTTCCACTAAAGTGAGGTAGGGTATAAAAATCTTCACCAATTAGCGAAATAAACTGATTTTTTGCTCTCCTGAAAACTTATGTTATTTAAGATAGAGACTATTATTGTGTCTAGATATGTATATACTTTATAGGGTGGAAAATGTATTTTGCGGAAATTAAAAAAGAATTGACAAACATATCGCTCATTTACTGTAAGACTGGCATAATCCAAAAAAGTGGCTTTGCATGTTTAAAGACATTTTACTATTTTTTTAAATAAATTTGAACTAATCAAGAGATAGAAAACGTCAATATGTTTCTCATCTAAATTCAAATTTATATTTATCTCATGTTCCTGAAAAGTTTCACTGAAAACATGAGTTTTAATTTTTAAGGTTACAACAAAAAATCGATCTCACACTGAAAATAATAAATTTTATAAATCTATATGAAAGACTTCAGTATGGATTATGACAATCTTGTAGTAAATGAGCCGTATGTATATATATAAATATTATTTACCCCTTCTCCCGAAAGTGAAGTATTGCAGCGAACCATTCAACGGAATTCGTTACAATTTGATGAACTTGGTAAAAAAAAAGAAATTATGACTTTTTTAAATGTAGTATCTTAAAAACAAAATATTTTATAATATTTTTAAATTTTAATATATTTATTAATCAACTAGTTTACATTTTTTATTGTAAATGACACATAAAATCTTTACTAATGCCTCATATTTTTTACTGTGTAGAGCTACATATTTCATGTTCGTTTCAAAATTCCCTCCAAAAGATTAAGTTTTTCGTTCCTTTTAGAAATTATCCATTATTAGAAATATTAAGAAAATTAAATTTGCAATACATATTTATTTATTCTACAAAAACAATAACTATGACCATAGAGAAATTCATTTAGACTTTTGTACGAAGTAGGGCTAATTGTTCAGGATATCATTCCAAGGTAATTTTTGACCATAGAATTAACACAGATTTCGGAGCGACACCTTCAACTGAATTGGTACTGAACTGGTATGTGGTAAACTATAGGAGCTCTAGCAATCTATTTTCATCCGTTTTTATTATATTGTTTTGACAAGAATCGTCTCCTATTAGAGTTCTACCTTAAAAGTGCATTACTCTTCTTAATTAAATCTATTTTTTTTTTACTTTTCTTTACAAAAAATATATTATTTTTTTATAGATCTCTAAGCTAGCAAGTTTTTGAGTTTTAAAATGTAAGCTTATAAGAGAAAAAATGTTTGCTCTCTTTTCATTTCAGAATTACGCCACTTTATAGAGGAATTTGTTAAATATAGAAAGCAAGCCCAAAATTTTATATATGAAGAAATAAAAAAGCATTTTTAGCGAAGCCGGTATTCGATACAGAATCGGGGAGAAAGTTCCTACATTCGTTTAAATAAGGCATGGTCCATGAGGCTACACAAGTTAGTATCAGAAACATCCTTACAAAATTAAGACAATTAACCAAAATAGTTGTAAATAAATATCTATCTGTTCTTTCATTCAAATATGGTGAGTAATATTAAAAAGAAAAAACATTATTGAAAACACTCTTATCTATTACAATTCAAATATCTTTGAAATTACACTTCTAAGATAATAGAAATTTTGTGATTAACAATCAGAGAATAAGATATATGAAAAATTTAAATACAAAAAACATTTACACAGTCATCTCTATAAAAACAGTACCCACCCCCACTATTTTTATAAAAAAAAAAAACAACGAAAACGAAAATAACCGAATAAATGCAACACTATTATACAAAAATAAAATAAAAATTAAATGAAAAGAAATGCTTCAACGTCACCCATTCAAAATTAAATGAACTAAACTGAACTAACCTACTCGTATCGTATCAACAAACATCTCCCCACCATACAAAATGTTCTTTTTTTCCACTACTACACTACGCTTTTAGCAAAGAGTCAGTCAGCCAGTCAGTCGATCGACAAACACCTTAACATACTACGATTGAAATATAGAGACACACAAACAACATCATGCACAAAGATATAACACTAGTATAGTATCCACAGTGCGAAATGCGAATGAATTAAAACAACAAAAATAGTTTAACTGGAGTATTTTGAGTATTTAAATGGTTGATGAAGAATTAATTAAGGTTGTTAAAAAAAGAAATTATAAAATTAACATTTTTACCTTTTGGGCATTTCTGGTGATGACTCTACAGCAGTAGATGATTGTTGCTGTGGTGTCGCTGGTGGTGACGACTCCTTGCGCTTTCGCTTGGAGTCTTTGGAGACCACCATAATTTATTCCGTCGGTTCAACTTTATTATAAACTTATATATTTTTAATTGCTTTTTTTCTTAAGTTCTTTTTTATCAATTTATAATAGAATTATCTATTTCTTCCAAGTAAAACAATTTTTGTTGAATTATCAATATGAAGCAAAAAACTCCAATTACACACAAAACCACCACTTCCCAATAAAAATTTTCATTCGCAAAAAGTCTGTTCGCGTTGCAATCACAAATTTTCTCTTCATATTTTCGTCATTTAATTTTAGCACAATCCTATGAAATTTATAATTTTTTAATAATATACTGTTTATTAAAGTTTTTTATAACATTTTCACTTTACTTTATGTGCATTTAATAAGCAGAAAAATGTAAATTTTTGTACAATTTTTTCTCAATACGACAGCGAAATTTATTTTTCTTTTCATGGCGGACGCTACAGCATTGCCAGATTAAATTTGGTTGTGAAAAGTGTTGTAGATTGACAAACATTATTAAAAGCAATGATTCTCAAACTGTATATGGGGTTACCCCACTGTGGGTGGGTGGTGCCAGATAAACAGATTTTTTAGTTTGTGTAAAATCAAAACATCATCTTAAAAAAGTAAAAAAGGTTTTCAACATTATATTAATAACGATAGGATTTTTACAAGTAATCAAATAAGTAAATATGTATGTAAAAACAATACCGATCACCGTCCTGTGAGTTTTCCAGATTTTATAAATGTTGCTGCCGGCATTTATAATGGATGTATGTGAGTTAATTTGTTTTTATAAGCGAGTCTTACATGGGAATTATGTTCTGTTATGTGTGAATGACTGGTACATATTCTAAAATTATTTAATAACTTCTTTGTTAATTCATAATTTTGACCTTATCATAAACTATTTTTCCCTCTGGCATTACCAGTAGATAAGGCAGTTTTCGTACTACTACCTAATTGTACAATACTGGGTTTTAATTGTTTTTGGTATGTGATCAGACCCCTGCGCCGATTCGGGTTAAAGAGGACTAAGCCTAGCCGCCAACAAAATTTCAAAACCGCTGCCAGTAATTTTTCAGCTTAAGACGACTTGAAATTTTTCGCCATACTTCATTACAAAATTAGCGTCACTTAAGGAGTATAAATATTGTTCCAAAAACCTAGATCTATCTGTCTTTCAAGTGTCTTCAAAAGAAAATAAGATGTCCTTTACTTGAACGTTAAGATAATGAGATTGTTATAAGTTACAAAACTAAATTTCTCTTAGCATATGCCATCAGTTGACTCACCTCTGAGTCCGTTGCCTCGTACGACATATACACCGAAGTCAGTGTGAGCGTGGAATGAGGAAAATGAAAACCAAATTCATTCTATGCCATTCCTTACCTTGTCTTCAGAATACGGGACAAACAAGGAGTTTCCTTTAATCCTGGCACTGTTTTCACCAAATGAGTCACTTGACACCTCTAGAAGGCCCTACACGTTTAAGTCCGTCAATACCTGACCCGAACATCCTTCCTGACCGTGGCGTCCGATATGTTCCTACTAATTAGGTCGACCACCTATCTCTTCGTGTCTTTTCTATCATGTCTTGTTTGGCTTGAAGTTTTGGCAAATAATTTGCAAGTTTGGAAGGGCAATCTACGCAGTGTCGGCGAATGTGGACTAGCAACTAGCTTTCAACCACTATTTGCCATAATACAGACTCTTGGGACTGCTACCACTCACCTTGACCTTAAATGTGCACTCAGACTAACTGTAAAGCCCTTACTACACGAAGACCGAGTCTGATCGAATATCAAACCGTATTATCTATGCCATGATAAAGGGAAATAGGATAACAGACACATACCACACTCATTTCCATTCTGCTCCACTGTGCTCCGCTATTTATAAGAATCCAGAATATATATACTTTATAGGGTCGAAAAATTATATTATAGATATTACAAACGGAATGACAAACTTATATATATCCTTCGCACTAAAGTGAACGGTATAAAAATTAAGAGTTGAAATAAAAATAGTTCTCGTGAAAATGTGTTATATAAGGAGAGAAATACATAAAATAGTATTCGCGAATACAAAAATTTCTACTATGGTCGACAATCCCAATATATAAAATATTTGCTTCCAAAATCCCTCTTTTTAATTTCTCGGATTCCGTTTTTATTTAAAATCGTTGAAGATTTCAAAACTAAATGTAGTTGAAAACTTAGCCGGCATACAGTCGATTTAAAGCCGCCGCCGACATTTTTAGTATCAGCCGCCGCCGTCGTTAATATTTCTCGGCGTAGGGTTCTGTTTGTGAGATTGCAAATTTTTTGTGATTTGTAACGAATGAACAGAAAATACTTAAAATTATATTATTTGCAAAAGACTGTACATATAATTGAATAAATAATAAAAAATGGAAGGAGCTGGAAATTGGTGTTTGATTGAAAGTGATCCAGGAGTATTTACGGAATTGATTAAAGAATTTGGTAAATTAATGTCAAAAAACCGGCTTTTCTAACAAGTTGTGCAAAATTGTTATTTTGTATACATTGGAAATTTATTTTAGGTTGCGAGGGAGCTCAAGTGGAGGAGATTTGGTCATTAGATGATGAAACCTTCAAAAAACTGGAACCTATACATGGACTTATTTTTCTGTTTAAGTGGGTGCAAGACGATGAACCAGCCGGTTCTGTGGTTAAGGACAATCGCTTAGAGAAGATTTTCTTTGCCAAACAAGTTATCAATAATGCCTGTGCCACCCAGGCCATTTTGAGTATTTTGCTTAACTGCAAACATGAAGATATTAAACTAGGTGAAACCTTAACAAATTTCAAAGAATTCTGTCAATTCTTCGATCCTTACAACAAGGGTTTAACTTTAAGCAATGCATCACAAATTCGCACTGTTCACAATAGTTTTGCACGCCAAACACTCTTCGAACTTGATTCGAAAAATCAAAACAAGGATGAAGATATCTATCATTTCATAGGATATGTTCCAATTGATGGTCGTCTCTATGAATTGGATGGTTTGAAAGAGGGTCCCATCGATTTAGGCGCTATTGGTAGCGGACAAAATTGGATTGATGTGGTACGTCCCATTATTGAGAAGCGTATGAATAAGTACAGCGAAGGTGAGATACACTTTAATCTTATGGCCATTGTTTCGGATCGTCAGAGAATCTATCAGCAACAAATCGATAAACTTCTTAGTGGCGGCGAAGAGGCCATGGAAACTGATGATGATCGTGAAACAGAAATAGCAAAGCTACGCTTCTTGGTTGATAATGAAGTAGAGAAACGTAAACGTTATCGCATCGAAAATGTTCGACGCAAGCACAACTATCTGCCCTTTATTGTGGAACTATTAAAAATGTTGGGTGAACGTGGTCAATTAATGCCCATTTACGAGAAAGCTAAACAACGTGCTATGGAACGTGAAGCTGCAAAGACCAAATCTTAAACACTTTTACCCAACTAGTATATATTTAGAAATATATTAAAAACACACTTTTTTATTAAGTGTTTCTAGTTATATTTGACCCGTTCAGTGGGTTGTTTCTTTTTCTACATCATTTACAATTATTTAGTCATTTAAACAGCATTTGTAATGATTATTCTTTTTAATTAGAACTTTTTTATAAAACCTGTATTTACATTTTATTTTTTCCAAGAAGTTTGTAAATCTTAAGAATATTTAACTGCCTGAAAAAAATAACATTATACATATAAAATCATTTTTGATAATTATTTAACAAAATTGTTAATACCTATCTTTTTTGGTCAGCTTTTGTGTATGAATTAATAAAGTACAAGAATATTAATTTAATTAAAGTAAATACGCAGATTATATTATTTAAATACTCTAGACATTTCTCAGTAAATAAATATACAAACCAGATCAGAAACGTGAAACATATGAAGTTCCTGGAATGGTTATAGCGTCATCGAGAATTTCTTTGAACCGAATTGCCTATGTAAGATCCTGTGAAAATCAAAATTTTGGTGGCATACAACAGATTCGTACAATTTCCGTTTTAAAGAATTATAGATTTATTTTAAAGAATAATATTTTTATTATAGATTTATTTATTTATAAAAAGTTTAGTCCGACAATCAGTGTATAAGGAAAATTTAACTTTAAAATTCATTTTTTTTAATTTCGTGTAGTTTTTTAAAAAATAGTTGTCCTAAACATTTACATGGATTAAAAAAATATCTCAAATCCCTTTTGGTATTTGCAATAAAGGTGTTGTTATTATCATCTGAGGATTCAGAGTAGGAGCCCTCACCTATATTCAAACGATGAGGTACATAGCTTAGAGCGCTCTTCGAGTTAATCCTTCTCTTTCACCCCTATGTTTTTGCAAATGACATGCCTTACACTTGACGCATTGTCCACCACGGAGGCCAAGGTACCCACCACCGATTGCAGGATGACTACGCCACGAGACTCGGGAGTAGATTAACAATTCCCACAGGTACTGGGTTATTTATGCCCTACACCGAAACTTTATTTTTATTTTCCACGTTTGTTTTTTCAGTTCTTTGGTCCGGGGGGAATAAAATATTCCCAGGTGGTGAACAATTTCTCCTCAGCACACAAACAAAGGTCAGGACACGGGCGGGCTACAAACGCTCTCTCCGGTATTTCAGATCGCTGGACTCTGGGGATCCTGCGACTCTGACTACCCGGGAAAAGCTTTTGCGGCGTAAACATACATAGGTGATGACCAATGCGGCATGACGAAGTCTGCTAGCACAACACCCAAAGGACTGTCTGCCAAAGTTCCAGCAAGCAGGCCTAGTATAAAGCGGCAAAGGTCAGGTGAAACGCAGGTGTCTGAGGGTAAGCGGTTGAAACCATCAACTAGCTTGACATCAGCACCTGAGCTGCAAGTGGCCATCATAGACCGTAGTCATCCCGATGGGAAAATGACTACGGACAGATGTCTACTTATGGAGCAGATCTTGCGGGTACTAGTTGAGATTCCTCCTATTCTGGAGGACAAATCCATACTAACATTAATTAAGCGTCAGAAAAAGGAGCTTGGTACTAACGACTGGACGATTGAACAAGGACACACGACGCACAACCCCTCCGACTCCTTCGTTCCTCTCAAGGAGTCATAAAGTACGGGCTCAACCGACTTCGGTTGATCTTGCCCGCAGAGAAGCGCAGGGATGAGTCCAAGTGGCCTGAATGCGGTACATATTAATCTGCACCATTCTGCAACTTCGCTCAGCAACGGACGATTTATTGCGCTTTATGGAGGAGGAAGTTATCCACGTGGCCTTAATCCAAGAACCCTGGCTTACAGCCAGTAAAGTTAGAGGCGTCCGGTCACGAAACTATGTGCTCCTTTCTTCAACCCCTGAAGGTAAAATAAGGAACTGTATTTCGGTCAGGAAAGACATTAAAATTTTCCTTCTATATAATTACAGTTCTGGTGATTTAACGGTAGTTGTATTAGAG